GGATCGACGACCACAACAGCGAAAAGCAAAAATATTCGAGGCCCGAAAAAGCCATTGGAGGGGCGCTACACATACCGAGACAGGCGAACCACTTGGTCCACATGCAAGGAAATTCGTGCAACATTGTGGGTACCTTGTAAGGGACAGACTTCCGATCTGTGCCCGTGAATGGAAGCAAAAGATCAACGAGCCTCATGTTAGTTTTGTCTCTGATCTTGATAAGAATTTAATTTGGGATGATATCCTTCAACATTTCACGTTGCAAGCGGATGATTATGATGCTATCAATGATGATGAATTGAAGGAACTAGTTCAAAAGTGGGCTATGAAGAAGATGGCCACACAATTCCAGACTTGGAAGAAATCCCTATACACGAAATACGTCAAGAAGAACCTAACGCCCAATTTCAATACTAGCGGCCCGCTCACGAAGTTGAGGCCCTACTGGAATGATTTTGTATAGTACAAGACATCGGAAGAGGGTGAGGAATGGGTGAGAAGGAACCAAGAGAATGCCCGACAAAAGGTATACCACCATGGCATGGTATCAGGTGGCTACGCGACTGCCATTCCCAAGTGGGAGAAAATGGAAGCGGACATTCTTGCCAAGGGTATCACACCAGAATCACTCAATTGGCCAAACGCGCGAAGAATTGGTTTTTTGCTCATGGGGGGAGACTGGACCTAGAGACCGGGAAGGTGGTTCATGGCACAAAACTCGAAAGAGCAACACAAACATTGTCTTATGCTCTACAAGCTAAAGCTATTGGTGTGTTCAGGCCCAATAGAGAGAAGGATGAACTGACGTATGCCCTCAGAACAACTGAACACAGTGGCCGAACGAGAGGTTTAGGATGGAACATTTCTTGGGAGCATGGTTTCCCTAATGACAGAGATACCTACAGAATCCGGTAGAGAAGGAAGGATGAGGATGCAGCGCAGATCAGCAGGTTGGAGGAATTGGTTCGTGAGTCACGGGAAGCGTTGCTTCAAGCACAGGAGCGCGAAAAAGACATGCAAGCTAGAATGCATGACGAAATCAGAAAGCAAGTGCAAATAGCAATGAGTGCCCAAAGGCAGGCATCAGATCCAAGAATCAACATTAATATTAGCCCCCTGATCAGTTGAAAAGCAGCTGTGCTTCCACGGAGTTGCGAAATCAAGATGACGCAATGCTACGTTTCCCCGTAGATGACATTACTGCACCGTTTACATCATGTGAGCTACATATTCCAAAAGAGAATGCCACAATCATGGTGGCTCTCGGTGTTTTTTCTCCTCTAAATCCTACCAAGACACCAAGAATCCATGGGGCAATAATACCACCTGGATATGTTAGCGTCTCAGTGGATAGAGTTAACAAAGGTTTTTGTGATCTGCCTCTTGACATTCCAGGAGGTGATGGAGAGAAGACTCTAGGAGAAGCAAAGAAGACATTCATACTATGGCGCAAGCGCTACATCATTATTCCCGGGGTCTCTAGTCCACCACCGCCTCCTCAACTGCCAGACAATAGGTGCGGACAAAAGTGAACGAAACAATTTTTTCACAAATTTTCTATTGACATGCATGATTAATAATAACAATTTCTTATACCTAATTATTCTTTTTTGTAATCACACAGCAGGCCCTCCGCCAACCTAAGTCCAATTATTCAATCTCCAGATCATCATAGTGCTTCGGGCAATGATTATGCAACGCCGCCACCTCCAAGGAGGTCTCCAACGCCTCCAAGGAGGTCTCCACCGCCGTCACCTCCAAGGAGGTCTCCAACGCCTCCAAGGAGGTCTCCAACTCCTAAGAGGTCCGCCCCGCAAACAAAGCCATTGGCCCACCAGCCGGCAAAGAAGAAAGCCTCCTCTAATCTAGTTATTCCCCGAAAACTATCTTACGAGAAAAGTGAAAAGGAATTAAAGGATGTAGTACAAAAAGATGTGAAAAGTTTCTTCGAAAAGTAAGAAAGCAACGAGAAGCGAGGGAGAACCCGGAGAAACCGTACTTGTAACTACCTCTAGATCTTCTAAGAAAGAAGGTGGACCAGAAAAAGCGGGAATCTCAAAAGACCCTGCCAAAATCGGACTACGACTGCTCTCTCACCAAGTCATTTGAGGCAGCGCAAAAAAAGACTAGAGCAGGGAAAGGTGTTGCACAACTCGGACAACAATTGCAACAATCAATCCCCCCTCATGTCATTCGTAATGAATATGGTTCAAACTTAGACTTACTGGACGTCGATTATGAGGAACTCGTTCGGTTTTACGAGGAAACTGGTTTGGACCTTGCCCAAGTGCTCGCTGAAGGACCATCTGCTCCGAAAGTGGATCCTTGGAAGAAATTTGAACATGGAAAGAGTCTATACAACCCTGAGGCCTTAGGTGAACTGGGTATGCAAATGTACCTGCTAAACAAGTGGAACATGGCGGCGTGTGAACGGGGAGAGGCCTTTGTTTCTGTCAGAGTTAGAAACAAGCATTACTTCCGTGGCGATGACATTATATATGTCGAGTTTTTAGAATTACACCAACTATGCCACCTGGACTCTCTCGACAAAAGTCTCATTAGCTACTATTGTATGTAAGTGTGATTATTTTCTACTATTAAAGTGTATATATATGAAGCTACATGTATATATATAAATTATATATCCTCACACTATATTTTTATATATGCAGATATGAGATGACAGAACTCAGAAAAGAGAAAGGATAATGATGTTGGTTTCGTTGATCCAAATGTCGTATTCAAACACCCTGATCCCCCGCCTCAATGGAAAGCTGATCTCGAGAAAAATCTCATGAGGTTCTTAGTGAACCAACAAAACAAGAACATACTCTTCCCCTACAACTTTAAGTGAGTGTTAAATAATTCATTCAATCATATGAACATTTGTTCAATTATTTGCTTACTAGCTAAGCTATCTGTCATATATATATATATATATGTTGACTCTAGTTAATGTCGATCATATTTGTGTATAAAAACATATGCAGCAATCACTGGATATTGATGGTCATCGATATGGCCAATAGTCGGTTGAGCATCTTAGACTCGTTAAGAAAAGAGCAAACAGAGTACCAAGACATGATAGATATTATCCAAGGGTAATTTGGTCTCTCTAGCAACTATATATACCTCGATCCCTTAACTGCAATAATTATTAAAGGCCAAATTAATTTTTTATTTTATTCGGCGCAGTGTTTGGAAAAGTTTCATTGAGAAACACCACATGAAACATTGCAAAGTGCCACTGGATGTAATCACACACAAAGTAAGTACTAGCTACATTTATATATATAATTGAATTAACATCATGCATGCTTCAATTCACCGGATCTTTTTTCTCGTAAAAGTGGGTTCTAAGGCAAGAACAGGGGAACAACTACTGCGGATACTATGTTTGCGAGTTCATCATGGCGTACTCAAAAAGAACTTCTGAAAAGAACCTCAAAGTACGTTATATAAATATATTCATATATTCACAATTTATTTTATTGCTCATATATATAAGTAATCATGTGACCAACACACATATATATATATATTAATACTTTTCCTTTAACTTTTATTGAAAACTCTATGGTTGAAGGAAAAAGTCATACGACATGACCAACTGAAAGTAATTCAAGAGACCATAGCAGGATTTCTTAATGACCAGGTCCTAAACCCCGTCGACGAGTTCTACAATGACGCGAACGAAACATGGAAGCCAAACCAGATGGAGTGAATTTGTTATCCTAAGGATATGATAGAATATACAATGCAAGCTTTATTTGTAATATATATATACATATTATATGTACATAAAATTACGTACAATATATGTACATGCATGTAATATATACGTTAGTTTCATACTTTAGTTTGTACAAAATGTTCGAACATTATAAACTTGTAGAATACATATATTATTAGCAGCGTAGAATCCGTATTCGAAAACCTATTCGAAAACCAAAACGAATCATCAATTGAAAATAGAAAAAAAAAGAAAAAAATAAAACCTTTAGTCCCGGTTGGTAATACCAACAGGGACTAAAGGGACGACCCACGTGGCTAGGCCGAGAGGCCTCTTTAGCCCCAGTTGGTATTACCAACCGGGACTAAAGGTGGACATTTAGTCCCGGGCGCGAAACCGGGACAAAAGGAGGGCCCTTTAGTCCCGGATTCGTGCTCCCGGTTCCAAAACCGGGACTGAAGGGGGTTGAGAACCGGGAGTATAGCTCGTTTCTCTACTAGTGTTATACAATTAGTTTTGTAACTATTCAATATTTAATACTCCAAATTAGTATCCAAACATCCGATGTGGCAAGCACTAAAGCTTAGAGCCCCAAAGTCAAGAGTGGTGATTATCCAAAAGGGAATGACATTGTGCGGCAGTGGTACATTACAGATTAGCGCAACATTAACAATTTATCCCGCAGCGAAGGCGGCGTGTGCCTGTGGGACGCCCCACCCACCTCCCGCCGCTGCCTCCTCGACCACGCCCTCCCCTCACCACAGGGCACCTCCCAGGTGGCATCTTCCTCGTCCTCGCTCCCACCGCGACCACCGCCCCCAACACTGGCGACCGGCCACTCCCAACACCTCAACGCATTGGGCCACTCACCTGCCGTCCCTGTCCCTCGACCCCGCCCTCCCCTAATCATAGGGCAAGGCCCAGTGAGCTCCGCCGCCATGCCCCCGCTGCTAGCCCTGTCCAACCACTGTCTCCTACTACCCCGTCGCCCCACCCTGGCGAAGTCTAGCCTGCCTCCACCACCATTTCACGGCAGCTGCCACCGAAACCGCTTCTAAGCCTACCAGCAAGGAGATCTCCTTACCTTGAAACCCTAATGCCGGTGAGCTTCCCTTCTCCAACATCAGCGACCCTCACCGGAACCCTAGCCACCTTCTTCTTCCTCTCCGGCACGGGCACGGGCGCGCGTCACGCGACGGGTCGCATAAAAATATTTCCATATGTAATAATATTTCATTCATTTTGTTAGTACTAGGTGCGCCTAGTCATGGCCAAGCTGAAGGAGGCCATGGCTGCAGGCATGGCAGTAGACATGAGCGATGCGACGGACACGTTCACCAATGACATCGTGTGCTGCGTGGTGTCAGGCAAGTTCTTCAGTCAAGACGGCCGGAACAAGACCCTCTGGGAGCAGATTGAGACGAACTCTACCCTGTATGCAGGGTTTAGCCTAGAAATCTTTTTCCCAGGGCTTGTGAACTCTCTAGGTATGTTCACCAGGTTTGAGAGCAGAAAGGCAGAAGAGACGCATGAAAGATGGGACGAGGTACATGAAAATATCATAAGCGACCATGAGAGGTGAAGCTTCAATGATCGCTGTGGCGACATAGCTGAGCAAGAAGAGGGCACAGACTTTGTTGACGTGATGCTCTCTGTTCAGCAAGAGTACAGTATCACCAGAGACCATATCAAGGCTGTCTTGATGGTGAGTGACTAGTAGGTACCGATATTAACATTTTCTTTAGAGAACAAAAATAGATCTATTATAGATTGTGTCATTTTTTATTGACATACTTATCCTAAATTACCCACACCCAGGACATGTTCAATGCGGGCACCAGCACATCATTCTTGGTCCTCGAACTTGCCATGGTAGAGCTCATGTGCTACCCTCATCTCATGGCAAAGCTACAAGAGCTGAGGTAAGGAACAAGACACCAAATGGACAGGAAATGGTAAGGAAGAGAACCTAGATAGCCTGGCCTATGTGAGAGCTGTTGTGAAGGAGACGCTAAGGTTACACCCACCTGCCCCACTGCTCTTGCCTCACCAGTCCATGGTGGATTGTGACATCGATGGGTATACAATCCCCTCTGGAACTCGAGTCTGTAGACATCTAGAGTCATGGGAGAAAGCGGAGAAGTTCATGCCAGAGAGGTTCAGGGACGGTGGTTGCGCCGCGACCATCGACTTGAAGGGGAATGATTTTCATTTCATACCATTTGGAGCCGGTCGAAGGATGTGCCCTGGCATCAACTTTGGGTTGGCTACTGTTGAGATCATGCTGGCAAACCTCATGTACTGTTTTATTGGGGGCTGCCAGCTGGCATGGAGAAGGAGGATAACGATATGACAGAGGTTTTCGGATTGACGGTTCACTGAAAGGAGAACCTCATCCTTGTTCCGAAACTACCTGGTACCGCTAGCTACGCATAATTTAATGCAAGATGCTCCGTAAATTATGTGCTTATATATGATCTATGAATGTAAGGCCTGCATGTGAATTTGTGTACCTGCTCTATGTATTTTGTGGGTTTAAGTAGATGTATCCAGAGTCAGAAAGATAGTTGTTTGCACATATGTATTGAACGCATGTCCCTTCAATATATATCAAGCCGCACTATGGATTGTTCCAAGTTTGTGAACAATATATATAGGTTGTAGACAAAGGAAGCTTCTATGAACATCAAGATCATACAAGATTCTAAAAGTACTCCGGCCTATCCAGAACTAAGATGATGCCTACAGCTTTTGCATAACGGTAACACACAAAAAATAAAAAGGGCGAACAGGTAGTGCTAAGATGGCTAATGCCGGCAACCTGTTCCTAAGACTCCACTGGGTTCTTGACCCTTCCATGCTTCTCAAATCGGTGAGAACTCATGCAAACTTGGTGTAGTTTCCAAACTTCATACTCTAGGCTCTTAGGCGCTGTTTGGTTGTGCGGTCAGGCAGCAGTCCAAGGCCATTGATTTCAGTCGCCCGGTGCCTCAAATGGATGCCTGAAGTTGGACTAAAATTCCTTTTATTCGTTGGACTAACTGTGTTAATGTTTCTATCGCGTGTGTGCAAAATGCATGAATTTGTGATTATCATTACCAGCCATTCAGTTCTTGATCATTTCATTCTTGTGAGATTGGTCAAAGCTCATGCAAACTTAGTAATGTTTCCAACTTACATGCTTGTGGATGGATAGTGAACACGATAAGGGTAGTATGTACTACCTCGTTGGCCAGAATCAAGATTGGGTGATTATGCAATAGGGAATATGCATAAGTGAGGAAATGGATTATATATTTTGATTATGTTTTTTTTTTGTTGTTTAGTTAAAAAGAACCGTTTCATCATAAAAACAAACATTAGGCAACACCATGCTGCTTTTTTATACAAGTATGTCTAATTACACTCGACGATCTTGTAGACACAAGTTTTTCCTCGAAGCAAGATTCAGAATTACATGTAACAACTATGGTACAAGGCATTTGAGGTCAACTAGTATCACGTTTTTTCATGTAGTCTTCTCTAGTTTTTATACAGGGCATTCTATTGGGTAACTCAGCTTTTACATTGTATCAGCAAATTTAGTCTAGGATTCCTTATTGAGGAACAATTGTGGAGAAGAGATTGTAGCATCTACACCACAATAATAACCTCGAGGGGGAAAAGAAAGACTGTAGCTTGGTAACCTCCAATGTCACATCAATTTACTTGCATATCAGCCACTGCAAATTGTCTTCTGTCTTGCATTCATCTCTCTCTTGGCTTCTATCTTGTCTTCTCTTGGTTCACGGAGGTCAAGAATATGAGAAGGCGCATGGTATTTAACTTCTCCAGTTTTGTCATTACCTCCCAGAAGTGTGTTGATTTAGCTTGTCATTTAGATGGTGTGAGCAGTAACGATATCATTCATACACTCCTTGCCCATTTGCATATAGAATAAAAGGCTCTCCTATTTTTTTCTTGTAATATAATGAAACTAGCTCTATTACTTTTGGAGACCAAAAAACATTTCTGTTATACTAACTGTTTCCATTTTGCTTTAGTGTGTGTGCAAAATGTGTGAATTGGCCGATGTGATAAGTGCTATAATCTTAGCAGCCACTGGGTTCTTGACCCTTCCATTCTTCTCAAATCGGTCAGAACTCATGCAAACTTGGTGTAGTTTCCAAATTTCATGTCATGCCCTAGGCTCTTAGGCACTGTTTGGTTCTGCGGCCAGGCAGCAGCCCCAGGGCATGGATTTCGTACACCCGGTGGCTCGAATGGATGTCTGATGGGTGAGATGCGTGCCAGGCCACCAACCAAAGATGCCCTTACTGCTGACCATGGCAAGTTTGGATCCCATGACTAAACTTCAGTCCCTATCACATTGGATGTTTAGATCACAATTAGGAGGACTAAACATAAGTTAATTATAAAACTAATTGCATAAGCCAAAACTAATTCACGAGATAAATTTATTAAGCCTAATTAATCCACGATTAGCATATGTTTTATGTAGCATTACATGGGCTGATCAGGCTTAATAGATTCGTCTTACGAATTAGTCATGGCTTATACAATTAGTTTTGTAACTGGTTAATATTTAATACTCCTAACTAGTATTCAAACATCCGATGTGGCCAGCACTAAAGCTTTGAGCCCCAAAGTCAAGAGTGGTGATTATCCAAAAGGGAATGACATTGTGCTGCAGTGGTACATTACAGATTAGCGCAACATTAACAATTTATCCCGCAGCGAAGGCAGTGTGCGCCTGTGGGGACGCGCCCAACACACCGAGGGCACCCGCTGCGCGCCAGGTGGGCTGCGGCGCCGGGGGACGCCACTACGGCTGCTGTACGCCCCTGGGAGCGAAGCACATCCAAGGGCCAACCAGTGGTGAGGCACCGTGACCATCGCCTTGGTACCGGCCACCACTGCCGCCGCTGCAGCCCTTCCTCTTGTTGTGTTTGCCGCCACCGCCGCTGACCGGGCGGCCGCCAGGGCCGTCACTACCGTCAGCAGAACTGCTGCAAGTGTTGCTGCGGCCATCACCCTAGCTTCGGGCGAACAGGCAGGAGGAGGATGCACGGCAGACCGTGGCACAAGATGGCGATCCCGCGTATTGGGCGGTCTATGAGGCGACCTTGGCCTCATTGGCAAGACGGAGTTCCATGAGTGTTGGAACAAGTGGTGATCACCACGTTCTCGATCTTGGAGCCGGCTTGAAGCCAGCCAGCTTGCTACCACGAGCCTGCGCTCCCATAGGTCCCAGGTCCACCGGAGCTCCAACATACCAAGGCATTGCGCCTAATTCAACCCCAAAAGACTAGCCTGATAGGTTGGACTGCCCCCATCTTATATGTTATGCTCCCCCACCATCAATATTCAATGTGGGACTAAACCCCGACAATCTCCCCCGTAGTCACACATCAGCATGCCTCCGCCATATATGTGACGCTCGGATTTTTTTATCGGGTTTACCTTTTTCTGACCATGGGTACTGGCTTTGATACTAATTGTTGGAACAGGTGGTGACCACTGAGTTCTCGATCTTGGAGCTAGCTTGAAGTCGGCCTAGCTCGTTACCACGAGCCTGCGCTCCCACAGGTCCCAGGGTCCACCGGAGCTAACAACATATAAGGCCCATGACTTTGCTCAAACCAAAACACTAGCCTAATAGGTGGGGCCTTCTCCCGCCTTATATATTGTCCTCCCCCATTATCACTACACGATGTGGGACTAAACCCCACGAATCTCCCCTTAATCACACATCGGGGTGCCCCCGCCATATCTGACCCTCAAGATTTTTTATCGGGTTTAGCTTTTTCTGACCTTGGGTACTGGCTCTGATGTTGGAACCGGTGGTAACGACCGAGTTCTCGATCTTGGAGCTGGCTTGAACCCGGCCCGGCTCGTTACCACGAGCCTACGCTCCCATAGGTCCTAGGGTCCACCGGAGCTGACAACATATAAGGCCCATGACTTTTCTCAACCCAAAAGACTAGCCTGATAGGTGGGGGCTTCTCCCAACTTATATGTTGTGCTACCTCACCATCGATACATGATGTGGGACTAAACCCCAACATTGAGAACCAGCTTCTCGCAAGCCATGGCGTAGTCAGACAGTATATCAGAGTCGATGGTGTTGTCAGTCGTGCTTGAAAACCGAGGGTTGAGGTAACACAACAGGCTGAGGACGAGCTATGAGTCAAGGACGGTGTGGCCAGCATTATGGAGCCCATCAGCGGTAGCCTTTTTCTTCTAGCAATACTCGTCGATGGAGAGGCGACACCCTGAGTCATGACTGGAACTCATGATTGAGTAAGACGACACAGGGAGCCTTGTTCGCCTCGAAGAGGCCCTTGATGGCATTCTAGAGCTGGCGGGCCGTTTGGTCCATCTCAAGGGCCAGGCAAAGAACGTCATTCGCAACAGAGCTGAGGAGTCAGTTGTGGACACAGGAGCTAGTCGCCGCCAAGATGGGTCATCAGGACATGAAGCCACCATGCCGTCGATGCACGGGTGAAGGACAAATTTGTCGGACAAGGAGAGGAAGAAGGCTAACCAGCAGGTGAAGTCAGGTTGCTCCAACTCGAGGGTGATCATCACATGGGACTTGATGATGATGGTCATGTTCAGCGGGATGTAGAATGTTGGTGTGAGATCCGATCCAGAGGAGGCCCGCTAGTGAGGGCGCCAGACGTGGCGCTAGATGTTGACTCC